TAGGGCTGTCTGGTTGACACAAAGCAATGATATTCTACTCTTTTCCCACACAAAACACATGATGGATACCATTTACATAACAGACACACTCTTCTGAGAGTGTGAAGGGTTACGGATAATTCTCAGCCCTCCAGCTAACTGCGACTCCACCCTTTTCTCTCAGAAGCGTAAAAGAAAATCTACATTCAGGTGAGCAAGAGAAATATGCAGAGATAATGTTGAATCTGCTATAATTTACAAAATGAAATAATTTGCAAGCTTCATTGCTTTCAATGTGACTAGCGACAAATTGCTTCCGTCCCGCCTTACCACTGTGAGTGTGTGTGCTGGCCAGTCTCCATTTGCTTTTCCAGACCCTCTCTCCATGCTATCCCATTCTGCTTTGGGCCCTGGAAGGATACTTTTTTTACCTGCTTCACCTGGGTTGCTTTACCCTCTGGTCAATGGAGATGCCACCAGGATACTGGAAGGCAGGAAGAAAGAGAGATTAGAGCATTTGTTCTCTTCTCTTTCTCTGCTGGCCTGGGCTCCTCTTCCAAAGGTCTCCCGACTCCTGCAGGCAGCCTTCTTCCATATCTGCAACCTGAGTTGCAGCTACAGCTCTCTCAGGGATCTGGGAAAGGCTCCCTCCCTGTCCCAAGGGGGAAAGGAGGAGGAGAAACGGAGATGCCCCTGTTACTAACTCAGGAGTACTTAACCAACCCTTGTTGGTTCATCTTAACTTTGTAGTAGTTTACGATTGGCTGTGCCACCATGCCATCTCTTTCCTGCCAGGACCCTGACTAATTTCACAGTTGAGAACCAATTGCTTTGTGTATTACCCCTCCCAAGAGTTCTGAGGCTTACTAGTTCACTCTTGTTGTTGGTAGCATAAAAACTGAAAACCCTTGATGCCCAACAGGAACAGTTCACAAAAGGCAGGCTTGTGGGCCTTTGGCCACTGAGAGTGAGCTAACTGGGTGCCAGATGTATATTCATCAATGGTACTGCCTATGTGGCCTTCTCCATGAACTCTTAGGACACATTTCCATGCCTTTTGTCTTTACCTGGATACTCTCCTTCAATCTATTTTTTAAAGATCAAATTTATTGCCAAGAATTCATAAAGCCTTTCTTGATCCATTTTTCTATTCTTAATCCATGATCTAAGAGTTAACAGTAATCCTCCAGAAAACACACACACACACACACACACACACACACACACACACACACA